GCTCACAGACAGGGCCATGAAACGCTTGCCAAACTTCCGCTCTATCTGGCAGAGCCTTGTGCCAACTGCAAGCTAGGAAGAAGTTCGACAGGACTGCGAAATTGAGTTTTTATTTATGAGAGATATCATTAAATCTGACGAAATTTGACAACCAAAAAGAACAATCTTTCTTGTAGTGGCCACTGCCACTAAAATACGCCAGCACTATGAGTTTGTCCCTCTCCGCTTTTTCGAGCCGACTCCTTACAGACATTTCGCTCACAGACAGGGCCATGAAACGCTTGCAAAACTTCCGCTCCATCTGGCAGAGCCTTGTGCCAACTGCAAGCTAGGAAGAAGTTTGACAGGACTGCGAAATCCAAACTAAGTCTAGTGTCGTGTAAGTCCAGTCCAGTGTCACTAACAAGTAACACACAGGTATCGTTGAATTTTAGTTCATCTGTAGACTCTGCGCCCACGTAAAAGTGGTAATACCGTGTTAAACGCGAGAGGCTGCATAGGTGGGGCCAACTGGAGGCGCAAAAGAGAACCTAGCAAGCAGGAAACTTATTTTATTTTGCCGATGATGCTCATTCGCGATAGCTATATTGCATTGACCCGTCTGCCTATGCCTGAATGTTTTGCACACCAAAACACACCAATATAGCTAACTGAGACACATGAGCGAACATGGCTGAAGCGTGCATTCTCGGGCACCTCTAGAGTGCTGCTTTGAACGGCGTCCATTTCAGAATCACTGTTCCGCAAAAGGTCGATCGAATCAAAAATAATTTGCGACGTCACGAATCGCGGAGATTACAAGCTCCATACTATCGTATTCAACCCAAGTCGACACTTTGTACGGTGACGACAGCAATGCAGGTGACAAGGCATGACTGAAGGTGTCCGCTTAGCAGACAAAATGTTTGCGGTGCTGCTGAGCCTGACGTCACTCTTTTCTGTGGAGAAGTGGTCAGCAGTGGCGTGATCTGGAGGTGACCGCGACGTAGCACCACTGCTGGTGCTCCCAGCGCTAATAATGGCGGGATTGCTGGCCGTTTTGAATAGTGCTAGATACTAGCGGTATCAATCAATAAATGTGATAGTTATTCACCCCTCAGTTGCGTTTTAGGTCGCGAATCACTGCTACGGGGTCTATAGCTACTCGTTGACGCAAAAATCTTGGCATGAGTAAATTTGATGTCAGTGCTCCTTTAAGGTTAGAGTCTGCGCACTTGGATTGATCGATGACTCAAACTGCAAACGGGTAACGTACAAGGCTTCTATTTCTCGCTTAAATTAGGGCAACCGAGAAAATTTTGAGGCTGGCCGGGCATTTTGATGCACCGTAGCGCAATTTCAGCAAATTTCATGGTTTTCGCACAGCTCGGTGCAGAAATAGGGAATTGTATCGAATTGGCGCAATCGGCAAGGCTGCTGCACCCCTACCCATTGTCGTTACTGGTAGGATGCCCAATATTCCGAGCTACTATTGCTTCGTACGATATCATCCTGGTTGTTTTGCCTTCAGTACGGCTCTCTGTAGAACTCCTCCACCACCTCAACTATCTAACCTATATTGGTTATGACATTGCCTTCCTTGTCTTTCACTGCACACATCTAATTTTTGCCTATGAACAAGTTTGCTTCGCAGTTTTTAGGCTTCTGCTGCTTTTTACAGCCTGCTCGATTCTTTCTATGTTATACCTTCTAATGCCGGCTACTTTACGCCTATTGATTAACTTCGAAAGCTCCACTAGTTCAATCTTTCTCGATCGCATTTGAGGCTTCCATGGTTTGTCGTCTCTCGTGAGATTTTTCGTCTCCTGAGATAATTTACTAGTGTCCTGTTTAGTGACTGTATCTCCGACTTCCATTACTAGCATTGAATTACTAGCTGTTGCAGTTGTGCATTACAAGCGGGTGCATACAATTTCAAGACGAAAGTCTTTCATGTACGTTGCAGGAGTCAAAGGGCTTTGCCAGAATCTGCAAGATTAGGCAACACTTCCCAACATCTGTTGAGGCTGCGGTGTTAACGTGAACTGTGCGAGAAATATAGATGACACCACCCACAGTCTGCGACGTCGTCGTGATGCCACAGATCACCAAAATTTGTAAAAGCAGCTACATGAAACTTTGCACAATAACTTCCCATTATGGTAATTTTCAACATGAAATATTGCACCTTCTGAACACTGAATTCCCGCGTCTTTAAAGCCTAGCACAGCTGCTGGCCAACCATTCATATGCCAAGCATGTAGAAACAATGCCTTTGGCCCCTCTGTGATTATTTGGTTCTCTCATTTACGTAGGAAAAACCACAACCAAGGAGCCTTTATGACGAACCTAGCTTGCTCTGAATGCAAAGACTTACTGCGTAAGGTTAGAAGATGTTTAAGCTCAAACGTCGGCTCCAATGCCACCACATGTTGTGTTTTACTGCATAAAATATTACACGAACACTACAGGCACTTTTTTTGCTTGTGCATCTTAGCAAGTGCAACGGAACAGACACAAAAGAGACGTGTAAACAGGACGAGTGCTAGACATCAACTGAATGCTCACCGACGTGAAAAATGTGCTCTGTATCGAACACATTTTTGCCCTCCCCATCAATGTGAGTTTCAGCATGAAGATATGCTATGTCTGAGTATAAATGAGCACAGCCACAGGTTGTAGCTCAAGAGGAGAGAAAGCGCACAGGCCATTTATCATCATGGGTTGCTCCGGTGGGAACAGTGAAGATAGCTCCTACCTTTGTACATTCTGTCCTCTCGCCACACAGTTCACGATGAAGCAATAGCGAGCACGCAGGTCACTTCACCTGCCGTGGAGTTGTGCTTCCTCACCCCAGCGTTTTGTTGAGTTACTTCATAATAGGATGCTAAATAAATTCCAATACGCTGCTACCACATTTATTCCTTAATCCTTGTGGCAAGATTGTAATTTTCTTTTGTCATCTCACGATAAATTTGCCATTATCTTAAGCAACAATTTTTTCTCTTTATTTCAACTTGAAAATTTTACTGTACGAGTGTTTATTGTATTTGTTCATGCCAGTCGGGATCTAGGTAATATTATGGCTATAGAGACTATGACAGCTTCTACAAAAGATTAGTGGTTGCTAAAGTAACAGTAGAAATTATTAAGGATCACTAGCTCCATGTTCTTTCTTTGTTTTTTTTTTTTTGTTTTTTTTTTTCTGATTTAACACGAGGTCCAGATTCAGTCATGGAAGAACACCATGACAGTGATGAGTTTTAGAATAGGTTATCGATTGTGGCAGTAAAGCTAGTTTGCATTTTGCCTCTTTACTGGCTAACCAGGAACTCTCTAATTTCGGTATTGTATAAGGGTATTTTTCTGTTGTAAATCAAACATTTTGTCTCTCTTTCAAAGAGATGCTGGACTGTCTTGCCCATATTGAACAGCTGCCACACACAGGAGGAGCCACCCACAGGAAGCCATAAAATATTGCTGAACACATCTTAGTGAAGCCAACAAACAATGCCACCAAGGAAGACGTGAGGGATATTATTCGTAGTTTTTGACTATGAAGTAGTACTAATGACATAAATAGAAAGGAATCAAAGTGAACAAAAAAACAAAGGCTGTCAGCAAGGTCTAAACCTAAATCCAAGAAATTACTGACAAGTTGTCAGCTCCTACAAAAGCTCACATGCTACATGAGCTGTTTCCCATTTGCCGTCATGACTATAATGGCACTGGCTAATCCGCCACGAAATACACGCACGTAAATACCCATTAAATTAAAAAAGAGAACGATTGCTCGACAGGTACAGTGCCTGAAGAGTTATGTGTGCTAGGCTTGGTGCCTACTGACATCGTTTCTTTTTGTTAACTAAATTTATTTCTTTTTCACCATATTTCCTATGCTAAAGTTAAAAACAATACCAAATAGTGAGTCCCTCTACCAGTAAAGTTGGATGATCTGTAAACTTATTTAGCATGACATAGAGGTCACAGAATTTCCACTGATAGCCAATCACAAACCTTGTAACTAACTCTGAAATGTCTGTCCAGAAAGTTCCCTTTGAACATAGCATGTGCTCCATTTAAGTTTTTCATTTGAGCCGCATACTGCTTGCGTCTTATTTCCGCATTCTCTGTCTTATGACATCCGTTATTTTGTCTGCCATACCACTTGAGCTTTGGGTGTTGTGCAAGATCTTAAAGTGGCCCAGCAACTCTTTCCCATGTAATACTCGAATGACTTTAGTGAAAGAGCTTAGTGCCTCACAAATGGACTGCCGTAAAAATTTTGAGTATCCGTCGAGTGCAAGCGGAGTTGGAAAGTTTTGTCCCATGCTTTAAGCACATCCTCTCTCCTTTAGTGCCAGTCAGCACATTGAAACCTGAGGGGGGGGGGCGGCAACAGGAAGATGCGTCTACTTGTCAGCACGCATCATGACCTCGAGCATTTTCTTCTTTTTTTTCTAATACATGGCTTTCAGTGCAATCCCACGCATTGCACAAAGGCCCGTGGCAGCATCCTGCCGCAGCCATGGTGACTTGAGCTGCTTGCACTGCTCAAGTAAGCCAACAGCTGTGGACTTTGAATTCATGGTGCAGTCATTACGATTTACAGTATCATTTGTTGATAGAAGAGGGAACAATTTCTAGCTGACTGAGAATTAATTGTAAAATGCAGGTCGCATCCTGGGCTCGCATGTTCTCAGGAGCCTTGACTACCGATTGGCCCCATTTTCTAACCATTGTGAAAAAGTGTTGCAGAGCTCCATCAAGTGGTGTTTGCGGCCCGCACATTCACTTGTTCAATTGAAGCGTACGTGCAGAGAGCAGTGGCGTTTACCCTATCCGAGTGGCACATTGCTGACGTGCAGTAAAATACACAGATCCTCAGCCATATGTAGATTCACTGTAATAAAATCTCATCTGCCTTCCTTGGCTTCACTGTCAGCAGGATTCATTATGTAGTCTCTCACAAAGAAACGAGCCCTTCATCCACTCCCCAAAGTACTGTTGAAACATTATACCTTCCTCAATCTGCTGGGCCCGCACGATCTGGCGGCTGCAAGAATAAAAAATGGTGTTAGGCTTCCACAACAACCAAAATTCATTTTTACACTTACCTCCCTTGGATGAGCTTCGCTTTAAATGCTTTGTATTTCTGTTGTGGTAATAGAAAAAGGTAAACAGTTAAACATTATGCATATTTTTCAAGGACTCTTGGCAATTCCTGCAACATCGAAAACAGTGGTTTACAATAAGGTTGCAGCAAAGAAAATTCCTCAAGGAGGCAGCATTGCTAAAGTTTAATTTATATTAGTGACAACCATGCCTCAAGATGACCCATCATGCAACAGCCAATGCTCTGGCTACAATGACACAAAATTAAGTTTTACTATATGGTTTGCAGCAACAGAACAGAATATCATCACTCAACATCAAAGCCAGCTGCTAAATACACCTTTCAAGCATGGCCATGTTCACAACCTGACTCCAGGCTTTGGATGTTTTACTTTTCCAGCTAGACACAGTAAGTACACAAACCATCATTAACCCTACGAAGATAAGCTCACACATTTCCTTATCAAGGATTCAATCAACCACAGGGAAACGAATGCGAGATACTGTTGAAATGCAGACAGCAAAGCAAAATATTTGGATGCATGTTCATCGAAACATTCAGTGCTGAAGGTTTTTCAAGCATTTCATCCCCTGCTTGCCATAGTGTATGCCAGGGGTCTCAAACACGGTCAGGCCACATGTGGCCCACTGACGTTTCAACAGCGGCCCACGACCTCACTAGGAACAAAATGTTTATGACGTTAACAAACTGCATTCGCCTATTGTGATAACTATTGTGTTTGGGTAAGCTAACCAGGTGAGAATGGTCTCAAGCACTTCTTTTTCACTTTCTTTACGCGTATGATGGGTTCCCCTTGAGTTAAAAAATAACCATAGAAGAAAATCTCCATTATTTCATAAATGGCATCTGGAATCCCTATGCCAAATCACCTCCCGAGATGATCCATAAATGGGATATGAAAAAGGCTTTTTCTTTAATTACAGCATTAAATGACATTTAGTCTGCTCCCACCAAACCTATGGCTTCAATTTTCACCATTGCCCAGTCCCTTCCAAGTCAAAATTTCGTGGAGCAGCCCACTAGCTGATGCGAGTTTGACACCTCTGGTGTTTGCCATGAAGAAACATAATAGATAGTTGTAGAACAGTGTAAGCCGGCAAGGGTGAGGACTTAGCATTAGCAATGTGCACTCCGCATCGAGCATGCACTGCTTGTAATGTTAAGCGAAAAGCAACAGTGTGTGTGTAGACTATTACCAGGAGTTAACATCGAGTAAGACAACACGGACACACCTGTTGGTGAGAGAGCTCCACTCGAGATCAACCAATCACATTACCAGCCTACACTGTTCAATAAGTTCACCACTAATCCTCAAGCTTGCTTTAGATTTGGATGAGTAGAAGTGTAAAAACCTAACATTCTTCAACTTTGAGGCAAAGTCAAATAAGTGGAAGCAAGTGCACATTTAATCAAATATATTTCTAATACTTTTGAATATGAATCTTACTAACCTCTGTAAAAAAAAATTTTTTTGCACCAACACAGTTTTTTGCACAGAGACTTTACGCAGAGAATTTTCACACTACACAACACTGTTGGCTGACAGCAACCCCCCCACCTATATATATCTTGCACACTACCTGAAGGCATCAAGTCGGCCAGAACGAAACCCTCCCTTGATGCATTTAGCTAGTATGCAAGGGATTATTGGTCAGCAGCCAGCTCTTAATAAGATCACTTGCTACCAACACCAACAGGCAAAGAAAGACTGTTCCACACTCGCCATAGTGGCTACTAGCAATACTGATAAAATAAAAACATTGTCCCCCGTTTCTCTAGGACGGGCGTCTAGGGACTGCGAATGGAATAAAGCGGCAAGCCATGCATGAGGCGCGATTCTATCGTCGCTATGCGTAGTCTACACGACACGCACAACGTGTCGCAACGCTTGCCACGATGTGTCAGATAAACCAGTCGTTTGTCTGTCAAAAAACATTCTGCGCAGTGCTTAACTTTGCTCGGCACACCAGATGCAGTTGTTTGTTCCTATGTTTTGGCACTCCCCCACTAAGGGAGACGGGCCAAGAAGCCGGCAGTTAATGTAATACTTCCAGAAATAGCTCGCATTTTGTTTTTGTTTTCTTTTCGCTAATATCACTTCACTAGAAACTAAAATAAATGTAATGCATTCACCGCTTTTGTTAGAGATGCTTTCAGAGTAACTAGTTAATTATTCTGACACTAGTCAGCTTCAGTACTTGCATAAAAATAATCCACTATTAGACCCAAAATACATGCACAGTTTGTTTTACAGGGAAAGGTGTTACGAGTTCAGAACTCGGGCCACGCACCGCCGGTGTCCGTAACCACATTGCAGGAAATTAGAAAGAAAAAAAACCTAGCCCCAATGACACAGTGGTGCACGGACCCCGGTCCGCTGGGTGCCAGCCCAGTATTTTACCACTGAGCCACGCCAGTGTTTCGGACTTGTTGGCAAACTTGCCTTAGGCAGGCTTGATGTTGGGAAAGCAATTGCGTTAATACGACTTAAGTGTTTTAAAACAGCAAAAGAACAAGCAGTCATCCCACAATGTGAATAGCGTAACGAGTGGGTCGTCCAATGCTCCAACCCATTACAAAAGCTTGTTTTTGTTCAGATGATGATCCTTGATACTCTGGCGCACACCCACAAAGGGGGATCGGCCAAGAACGGGCGGCAGGATCTTAACTAAAAGGCTAATGGTTTTTCAAACAAAACGTAATTTTGGGCTGAAAAAAAAATAGAAAGAAAAGCCGAAAATCGAAAAAAGAAGTATATCTGAGCAGGGAGCGATGCAGGCTATCAGATGCGATTTCAGACAGAGGTAATGGTGGGTCTAAAATGATATATATATATATATATATACACATATAGGCAGATCAACATGGCAATCGCTTTGTTTCAATTATGTATTCAAATACCGCAGAGCAGACGTCCCTGTGGCTATAACCGAATTTAATGCTCCCAAACGACAAAATTACTGCCACATTTATTTCTAATCCCAATTTTTCAAGTGGAGCTACCAGGTATCTTTTCCGTTGATGAGAATATCGGCGACAGAATGAAAAGAAGTGATCTATCGTTTCCATTTCTTCGCAAGTCTAACATAAAGGTGATGCCCTTAGACCAACTTTATGCAAATAATAATTCAGTTGCGGAATTCTGCAACGCAATCTTGTAAAAGTAACTTCCAAGTGCCGTGTTGCACACCACTGTCTATTCCAGCGGCATCTTAGATGTGCGAATTCTCGATATTTATCCAATGAGTAGCAGTCGTATTCAGATATTAACTATGGCGCCTACCAACTTCAGGCAAGATTCCTCATTTTCGTCAGCCACTGCATGAACAATTCACACAAATTCCTAGCAATTGTTTAGTGGAAGACGAAAAATAGCATAGTGAATGCCGGCCTACTAATAAAAAAGTTTATTAATAGTGCCGTAGTGGGTTTCAGGCAAGTGTGCTTGCAGTAGTTACCCAATGAGTGTTCAGAAAAGACTCTGAAAGACTGTCTTCTGGTTTCGCTGTGACTATTATTCGCCTTACGCGCAGGCCTGGCGTTTTTGTTGTTGTACGTGTTTCGGGCGAAGGAAAGCAATACTTTTCACGTTGGTCCTGGAACGAGTCACGTCGAACATGGTGGTGTATCTAGCAAAGTGATCCTCTGCAGCAACACGCAGCATTATAAAGTTAAATGATCACTACTTGCACACTCGGGATACCTGCACGAATGCGCACGCTAAATTTCAAGCCACTTGATGAAACACGCGGTGCGTGACAGGCCATTGAAGTTGGCGTGTACTGAAAGGGCTAACCCGTTCAGTCGGTGTGTACAGACGCTTCCAGCGTAATTAATTATTCGGACACCAGTCAGCTTCAGTACTTGCATAAAAATTATACACCGTTAGACCCGAAACACATGCACAGTTTGTTATTTGATTGTACGTGCTTCGGTTGAAGAAAAATACTTTTTACGTTGCTCCTGGAACGCGTCACGTCGAAGATGCTAGTGTATCCAGCAAAGTGATCCGCCGCAGCAACACACAGCATTATAAAGTTAAATGATCGCTACTTGACAACTCGGGAGGCCTGCACGAATGTGCGCGCTAAGTTTCAACACTAAATGAAACACGTGGTGCGTGACGGGCCATTGAAGTTAGCGTGTAGTACATTTGTACACGCCGTGACTGCAAGAGTTAGAGACGCTTCTAGCGGGAGGAGTACTTACCTTGGTCCACTTGTCGCAACACTCGCAACAATCCTGCCATGCTTCCATTGTTAACTAAACAGCAACCTTACAAAACTTTTAAACTCGTGGGCTTCTTATAATTCTCTGCACTCGACCCTAAACCTCGATCGTGAAAATGGCGTCAAACGACAAATATGCGCGCTAAAACAATGGTATGGTGCCGGCATAACAGTGGCTAACGAGGTTCTGTTTGGCTACAAAACGGTTTGGCGTTGCATAAACTGTTGTCAGACTTGAAGAATTAGTGTTGCCAAACTGCCACCAAATTTGGCAGAAAAAATTTGCCCCTGTAGTTGTAGCTTTTCGTGAGGATTTGCTGTCGTCCGCGGTGCATTTTGTAGTCAACGGAATGAACCGCGCCTTGCAGACGTTGGGACGCGTTCTCTTGCTGTGTGCGCTGTCGCGGGCACTTAAAAGGAAAAAGACCGCTTACTTAAAAGACTTTTAAGTGCCCGTGTGACAGGGGTATAAAAGTCTTTCAACTTCGTAAAAGACCGCTTACTTAAAAGACTTTTTGCGCGCCCGTGTGGCACAGGTATAAGAGATCGTGCCCTAGAATTAGAGAATCAACGACGCGTCGTCCGCCGTTCATTTCGCGAATGAGATGAACTTGTCCGCCTGTGTGTGTGTGCGACGTAGTTAAAGCAATGAAGCGCGCGTTACAGAAGTCGGGGCGCGTTTTCTTGCTGTGTGCGTAGCTGTGCAATTAAGAGATCGCGTCTCAGTATTAGGGACGACGGGGCGCGCTGCTTCTCCCCCCTTCTTTTTTTTTTTTTTCCCCACAGCTGATCATGCCGCGTCGACCGACGGGACGTTCGACCGCGACGCCCCGTCGTCTCTAATACTGAGACGCGATCTCTTAATTGCACAGCTGCGCACACAGCAAGAGAACGCGCTTCGACTTCTGTAACGCGCGGTTCATTGCGTTAATTACGTCGCACACACACTCGCGAATAAGTTCATCGCACTCGCGAAATGCACGGCGAATGACGCATCGTTGATTCCCCAACTCTGAAAGACGATCTCTTAATTGCACGACAGCGCACACAGCAAGAAAACGCGCCCCGACTTCTGGAACGTTCATTTTGTTAATTAAAACGGCCAACGTAGCTCACGCAATCGCGAAATGCACCTCGGACGACACCCTCAAGAAGAAGCAACTACTAAAGGAGCAAATTTCTTCGCTAAATTTGGTAGCAGTGTGGCAACAACCACCCCAAAGTCTGGCAACGAACTTATACAGGCCAAACAGAACCTTGCCGGTGCTGGTGTGCGACTTCATTTCGAATCGCGCTGACCAACTGAAATTTCTCTCTTTCCTTTCCTTCCTCCTTGGCCAAACAGAACCTTGCCCTAACGAGAGCCGCCCGCAACTGGCCGAACGTACCGAAACCACAGAACACCGACTAGCCGAAACCATCCGTGACCGAAACAAACTGGTAGCAGGGTTAACTACCAGATGGCGTGAGCCTCAAACCGCCAAGTTAAACTTCAAGATGGACCAAACATGGCCAACGCGTAAATTTGAAGTATATAGCCACAAAATAGCCCAAGTTAGTTTTTTTTTTCAACATTTTTTGCGCAAAAATATATGCTTATTAGGTTAACAATTATCAACCAAGACTTTATTATTCTCATAAAGATGATACTGATACCTAGTAGAGATCAGTGATTACATTTACATTTTACAACGTTGCATTTCGTTATACAAACTCAGAACACGTAAGAAAAGAAGAACAACTGACAATACTCCCGGTGTCGTTTACCAAATCCCATGCGCCGAGGGCCCTTCTTCATAAATTGGCGAGACAAAAAACCTATCGGGCCGTAGAAGTGTGGCAGCTTGGGCTAGTTGGTATGGCATGACGATAGTTATAGCGCGAGAACAAAACGACGACGCAGAGACAAGAAGGACATGAAAGGCGTTCGTGTCTTTCTTGCCTCTGTGTCGTCGTTTTGTTCTCGCGCTATATAACTATCGTCATGCTATCGAAACGACTCGGACAACACGCCAAGGATGTCCTACGCTGAACAAAGAGCGCAGAGCCATCGCTAAATACCGTGAGACATCCGACAAGATAAATATCAACCATACAACTGTCCTGGAAAGCGATACTAACTAGACGAGAAGATTGCTACTGAGTCGTGGCCCAAAACCTTTATCGTTCCCTCGGAAACCCTCCCCCTGTGTATGCACACGGACTCCGCTCTTCGGCAAAACGTCGGGTCATTAACCGCCGAGCAAGTTCTTTCAAGACGCCGCTGCAACGTTGCTATGATCCCCTTTGACGGAGGAACCAAGTCGGTTCCACGCGATGCGTCCAGTTTTTACGTATTTTCACGCGGTACTTTACATTGGTTGGAGTTAAAATTACTTTTCTTAGTTCACCTACCTTTTGTTTAATGCCTACATTTAAAGGCCCCTTTTGCCCAGTCCCAGAATAATCAAGGGAAGCCCAGAGGTGAGATGGGGCAGGGCTCGCTCGCCCTCAAAACACATTTTCGGAGTGCTGACACGTCAAGCCCTTTCTTGGACTATGTCTCCAAGTGCAGAGATCGTTGAACACATTTGAGTATTTTGGTGGGGGTACCCCAAGCATCGCACACAAGTTCTTGGGGTCCTGTGTTCTTTGAATATTCATAGAGGAGTACGGTATTTTTTCTGCTAGCATTGCATATAGTTTAATTGTTTTATTTATGCAATAATTATTGTATCAAACACTGTGCTTCAACGTCTTTCACAGCATGAGTGGTCGGTTGATCATACCAGTTTGAATAAAGGTAAAATACTCAAGTAAAGCTCTATTTACAACTACAACAACGAGCAGACCTAGATGAGGAATAAACTTTTTTATTCAGAAAGGGGAGGAAGCCAAGTTTGATGGGGGCTAGGTTCGGGCCCAAAGGGCCGCAACACTAGCAGACCAGTCCGCCAGACTGGCCTGTATATGTGAGGGAAATGGCTGCAGGAGCTCCTCAGGTGGAGGGTTGTTGGTGCAACCCCATAATACTTGGTCTTGTCCTGCCTGTGCTAGACAACAGTTAATAGTTAATAGACTTGTGTAGCTTTTCATCTTTCACTATTGCGGCCAGCCTCCTCGGGCTGAGTATACAATGAGTCTGAGCCCTTCGCAGTATAGTCGCTTGGGCCCGGGTTAGTGTATGCGTCATCTGGAGGTGGATAAAGCATTCTTGTTCTCGGTGCCGGCTAAGCCGGTCTCCGTAGCTGAGCGCCAGGTCATTCGGATTTGGTTCCTAGGACCGCACCAATGCCCGGTTTATATTCCCTCTGGCTGTCTGTGAGCGGCCTCATTTCCAGGACCTCAACAAGAAATCAAGCTCATTTGGGTTCCGAGCACAAGCAGACCTAGATGTTACTCTATGGATCTAGATGTAAAAACCGCTACATAGCGCGTCATCTGTCGCATAGGATACAAAATCATGACAAATCGCCAAAAGCGTTTGAAGGCCAGTCGGGCCAATTAATTCATACCACGGAGGAAGCTATGAATTCCTTCATGATTCATACGCTTCTTTTATCGTCTTATCCTTTTCATTGTGATACCTGGATGCGCGCCGCGTGGGGCGCACGCATCGAGAGTGGGGAACAGAGTCTACATAGTAACTCTAGTGAGGAATGGTTGGGGTCGACTTATGGTAGTGGCGGCTACTGCCCGTTGGCGCCAAAAAAAAAAAAAAAAAAAAAGCGCTATTGCCGGCCGTTGAGGTGGGTGAGTTCTCTTCGCAAAGTGCGGCGAAACTTCTGCTCACGGTTCAGTCTAGTTGAGTTGCCACGCTTGGTAACTTTTTTCAAATTATCCCTGATTCCTCACATAACTGTGCTGTTGCAGTCTGTGCGCGCGCAAACACTCCCCGTTCTCGGGGTGCGGGCGTAAGTGTAAAACGCATTGCCCGCTCGGACTCGGTGTGTCTGCATCGATTATAAGCAAAGCAGAGAAGGGCGCGCACGTCTATAATAACGGGCTGCAGTAGCGCCTTTAGTTCCCGCGCAAAAGTTATGAGCTGTGGTCATTCGCCATGCGTAAGCACGTATAACTACGTTAGTTTCGATGATTACCTTTCCAGGTGGGTTCTTGCACGTATCTGGTGTTCTCTGGGGGAGTGCTCCACACGCGCCGTGGCTCGAGCACTGAATGGTCCTTTTCTGGAGGGCACGAGTGTTCCGGGAGGAATTTGTACGACTGTGGTGTCTATTCACCGAAAAGTCATTTTTTTTTGCAGAAGCCCGTATGCTAGAGGAAAGTATACTGTAGGTCGAAGCTGATACCCGCAACGAAATCATCACACCTGAACAAGTCCGGCAAATCCGCAGCTTGGATCTTATTCAATCATGCAGACCAGGGTATCCAAATCTTTGTGTTACCGCAGTGCATACGTGATGCGCTCACTGTACGAACCAAAATTCAAAGCTTTATGTAGCGTAAGGAAGTACAAAACTGTCGCAGTGTAAGCCCAATAGGGCAAACTTTTCTTTCAAGGCAGCGCTTTAGACAGGTGCAGCATTTCCGCGTAGCCAGCGCAACGATAGTGAACTGTTGCCTAGGTGCATTCATGTTGTGGCGGCGCAAATGTCAATTTTATGTCTTCTCAGGTTTACAAGAAATGAGGGCACAGCCAAGCACAAGTTTTTCTATACTGCGCAGTGAGGTTACTGCATATTTGTCATTGTCCTGAATTGGTATAGAATGCTTGACCTGTCAATACACTTCATGGTTTTAGGATATAATGAAGTTTGATTGCCATGAATGTTTCTGTGCTTGCTTCTAAGGAAACATGCGAGCATTAGGTTAGTGTTTGTTGCAGCATATGCTATATATATTTAGGTCTTTGGGTGCTCTTGTGCCTATCTTATTGGCTAAAGCAATTTGTTGGGACATATTTCTTACACATCACGTAGCCAGCACGTTATTATTGTATGCGTTTTTCGCTCTCATGTGTTTGCTTTCTTTGGTTGTTTTCTTAGTTTTGTGATGCTCCCCTTACTCGATGCTCGTCATGGTGCCTGTAAGGTGCTTTTAAATAAATAAATATGAGGCTGCATACAATTGTGTTCATTGGAGACAAGCCACAACATAGATAGCATGTGAAGTCATGTATACAGCTTCTGAACGCCCTGTACCTCCACAGTGGCAGCTTTTATGACAAACAAGTTGCCCATAACCTGGTTCAATGTGTTAATGATGTGGCAGGA